CAAGTCGCACCAACTCAGAGAAGATGAAGAAGAAAGAAAGACAGAGAGAAAGACAGACTTGAGGAAGGAAGGGGAGGAGGAGAAAGGAGGAGAGCAGGGGAAGAAAGACAAGAGAAAAAGAGGCACAGACAGGTGTCCAGGCTGACTCTGGTACCTGGAATACCAGCTGCTACAGTTTAGAGTGTGCTCTCTCGGGCAGGCTGATCGCAGGAGCTTGTCTGTCTGTCTGTCTGTCTGCAGCTTCCTATGAGGCACACAGGTTGGGGTGGGGTATGTGGCTCCAGGCACATGGTTCACAGCCTGAGATTTGGCTCCCAGCCTCCAGGATGCGCCCCCTGGAGAGACTGTGGGAGGCGCCCGGCGCCCACTAGGCTGTTAAGGGCAGGGGTTTGGGGATAAGAGTCCCTGGCCTCATGGTCCAGAGAAGTCAGGTTTCAGGGTCCTGCTAAGCAAGGCGGGGCTGGGGAAGAAAAGGAGGCTGGATGCAAGGTCTCTGGGCAAACCCTAGGACCACCCCCAAAGCCAAGATCATGGGGACACAAAGAGCACCCCACTCCATGAAAAATCTGGGGTGGCCACTCATTCAGACACCCCACGCCCCTCCCCTTGTCCATGTGTGCCCACACTCCCCATCACCCTTGGAGCCTCTTGAGAGCTCTGGGCTGGGTGGAAAGAAATTCCTCATGCTCCTGGAAGGGTACCTGGGCAGGTAAGCCCCACCCCCACCCCAATGACCACACCCTGCCAATGCCAAGACCAGAACCCCTGTCCCGAAGGGACACTGCAGCATGTCCAGACAAGCCCTGTCATTCGGGTTGATGGAGGGTGGAGGGCGAGGCAAGGTATCAGGGCAGCAAGATGACCAGGTGATGGTGGGCAGGAGAGACCAGCTCACACTCACCCTGAAGTAGGTAGCTGTGGGGGAGGGGGGTCTGGTCTGAGCAGCTCCTCCCCCATCCTTCGAGGGGAAGGCGTCTGTCCAAACACATCCAAGTTGTCCGCAGGCCCCGCAGGGCCCGGCGGAGGGGAAGGGTAGCCCGTGGCCAGAGTGGTGAAGCCCACTGCAGGCCGGTAGCTGGGACTCCCGCTGCGGCTGCTCTGGGATGGGGAGCCCGTGGATGGTGTGGACTTGCGAGAGAAGCTGACTGCGGCCGGTGGCTGGAGGGTGATCTCTGACATCTCGGCCTGCTGCAGGAGGCTGGGGCGAGGCCGGGCCCTGGCGGCAAGCTCAGGGGAGCCAGTGCGGGAGCTGAGGGGGCTTTGGGTCAGAGGCGAGAGCCGGGACGGCTGTAGCACCACTTGATGTAAACTGGGCTCGGCGCGCCTGGCCTGCCGGGGGCTGGGCCGGGGCCGGGTCTGTGGCTCATACCACCTGGTGTCCAGGCCAAACGTGCTGGGTCCGCCGTGCCCCCCCGGCTCGGCAGGCTCAGGGTAAGGCAACACGGGTATGCCCATACCTTGGCTGGTATGTCTTAGCTGCCCTTGGCTCACCAGAGGTTGCATAGGTCTGTCCTGCCACTTGGCGGTGGTGGGCACTGGGACAGGGCCTCTGCCCGGTGGCTTGCCTACCCAACCCTTTGGCGCCTCCAGAGACAGAATGCCCGGGTAGGCCGCGGGCACCTGGAGGGAGCTGGGGGGCAGTCCTCGGGGGAGACAGGCCTTGGGCTGCAGACTCTCGGCTACATCACAGGGGTGCAGCTGGTGGGGGAACATCATGGCCGGGGTTTCCAGTCCCCCAAAGGGGAATTCTGGCCGGCCCCAGGGCTCAGGCGAGCGGCCGCCTGTAGGTGTCTGAGTCAAGGGCAGCGTGCTGTTGGAAGCGTTCTCTCCGTTTTCCTCAGGGATGGTGGGGTGGCCAAAAGGCCCCTCGGTGTGCAGGGGTGGAGAGGACATGACAGAGCTCAGGGGGCTGCCCACTTCTGGCATGTAGAAGGGTGGCGGCTCCACCTCCCCAGGGCTGCTGCTGCTGAGGTACCCATAATACTGGCCGTGGTGGAAGGGCCGGGGGGCAGGGGGCCTGGCTTGGCCTGTAGCCTGGAGCCGACCTTCCAGGCCACCGGGGCCCTCCAGCCCCCGGGGCTGGAACCGAGGGCTGTATGCTGGTGGTGGCAGGTAGGACTCCTGGCTGGATGACAGAGGGGTCAGCTGGGACTTCAGGGCAGTCACGGATGTGGGCACGAGAGGGTCGTCATTCTCCTCGTCGGACTGGCGGAACTCAGGGTACATGTCTGTCTCCTCCGCAAAGGGAAAGCCCTCGATGCGCCTGCCCTTGACCGAGGGCTCCACCTCGGAGGGACCCATCACAAAGCGGCCATCCGGGCCTCTGCTGATAAGCTCGATGGGCGTTGTGGCCTCGGCCTCAGCCTCGGCCTTGGCCACACTGTACTTCTTGCTGCTGATGGCTCTCTTGGTCTTCTTGTACAATGACAGCTCCTTCTCCCGGGTGGGACTCAGCATCCTCTTGGCTGCTGGCTGACCCTGGTCATCAGAGGACTCCGATGGGGCCCGGAGCGTCCGGATGCTCTCTGGGCTCACCTTGCCAGAGGACAAGCTGTGGGAACAGGAAAGAGAGCAAGAGGGATGAGGCAGGAGAAACACTGGTCCATTCTCTTTGTTCTCTTAAAGACAGGGACCACAAACACCTGAGAAGATAAGATAAGAAGATAAGGAAAAGGCCTGCAGGGGGGCTGCATATTTTAGCATGAAACTCTCTGGCCAACTCTCGATTGTCTAGATGTGTTTACTGAATAAACATCCACATTTCTACTTTTATTTTGCCCTGTCCCTATCATTTGCCATGCTCTATCCAGTCATACCTGCAACTTCATTCCCAGGCAGCTCACAAAAAGCAAGTTCATTTTCATTAAACTTATGCAAAACATATTAAGAAAGCAAATCTGTTAGGATGACCAAAAAAATCACAGAAATGCATTCCAAAGCTAAAGAGAAATGGATTATCCATGAATTTGAATCCCTCTGCAAAAGACGGTGTGGACAACTTAAAATTACTACTCAGATCAGCTAACAGTAAACAGCTTAGAAACGCTGTCATGGGGCTGAGCAAGGCAAACCATCTACCTGTCTCCATACTCTACCCTCCACCCACGCACCACAAACAGCCATGTCATAGTTCTGCTGGGCACTTACGGAGACTCCAGACTCTTCCTGCAGTGAGTGATGGAGAGTGGAGGATCTGGAAGGAAAGAAGAGAGAGAGCCTACTGAGGCCCGAGACAACGAAACACAACCCAGCTGAAACAGGGCCCAAAGGAGAGCCACGGAGGGAAGCGGCTCCTTCCAATGTCTGGCATCTTTAGATCAAGTTCAGAGTCCTGTGCTCACCAGCAGGCCCTGCCTTCACTCTAGTTCTGGTCTATCAATCTCCCCACCATCCCTGCTTCCTTTCTCCCTCTTTCAAATCAAGTCCCACTGGCAGCTATACCCACAGGATTTTGGCTTCTTCCTTTTGAAGAGGGACCATGCTAAAAATGGGCCATCCCTCCTAACGGGGAGCTTTTGAAACTGGGCCAGGTAGAGCAGGGGGTGGGGGGTGACACCCACCTTTTTTGCGCTTGAGCTTACGCTTGCGCTGCTTGTTGACAAAGCAGGCAGCCAGGGTGCTGAACAGGATGGCAGCTGCCAAGAAGCAGATGGTAGCTACAATTCCAGCCAACACAGGCCGAGCTAACCCGTCATCAGTCAGGTCCGGCTGTGGGAAGATGTCTGCCGGGAGGGGCGGGGAGCATGTATGAGTCCCTTTCTCCCCCAAAGACCCCCACCTACCCTGACATCCATCCCCCAGGTAGCATCCATCCCTGCCTCGGTAGCACAACGATTTAAGGCTCAGGCTCGATCCATGCTCAACTCTAGCAATGAAGAGGTTTATGTGGCAGGGGAGGAAGAAGAAGGGATAGTTTATAGAGGGCGAGTGGTTCCCACATAGCTAGTAAAGAAGAAAGAGCATCTATAGCTTACCTTTATGGGGATAATAATTTCAATAATAATCTAGACTCGTCTAGTGCTTTTTAAAAAGTTCTTTCATCCATATTATCAGATATTCTCACATTAACCCCATGAAGTAGACAGAGCACACATTATTGCTCTCATTCTCTAAATGAGAAATCTGGGATTTGCCGAGTTTGAGCGACTTGTTTACATAGATACTATGTATCAGTGCCGCAACTACACACAGTTATTCTGACTTCCAGTTTGGTGTTCTCTGCCTTCCACCCTGCCAGCTTCACAAAATGAGCGTAGATGTGATAACACCTGGGAGAGGGCTTCTTACTGCACAATTCAGATCCATTTCTAACTCCTTACACTACAGGTGAGCAACTTCTACAGGGAAGATTAGCATGTCCCGGTCATCTCAGGTACAGAATGCTGGAGCCAGCAGAGACATGGTTAATGGGTCCAACTTCCTCATTCTGCAGTAAAGAACTGAGGCTCACTTTGTACCCAAATTCATCGAGATGATTAGTGACAGAGCCAGGACTGGACTCCAGTCCACTGTATTATACTACAAAGGATAGTTATATTAGTTGAGTGCCATCCTTTAGGTTCATCGAAGGAGAAATCTACATATTCTGATATATTTGGCCAGAATCCATTGCTATGTTGATAATAACAATGGACAAAAATAATCCAAATCACGCTGAGTGGCTGACTAGAAAAATGAATGCTACGGCCTTTGGAAATGGGGGCTTAATTTGGGGGAATGTTTAGGTTGCTGCATCCTCATTCACCCATGAGGAGTCTTCCAACTATGTATGTTTCCTCTTGGGATCCAGATACCAAGCCACTGAATACAGAACAGTTCACTGAGATGAGCCTGCAAAACCCTCAAGTCTTCTATCCTGGCCTTGCTACAAGCTCTGTTCCCCAGTCCTCCACCTCTCCAAGTCTCTTCCCTGGAGGGAAGCCAAGACAGAAGTATGCTGGTTTCTGCTGTCTAAAGGAGATGTGTGTGTATGTGTGTGTGTGTACATCCCTCCTATGTACACACAATACATACACACACATACATAATCATAATGTGTAATATATGAGACAGAAGTCATACTCCGCTCCCCCCAAATGCTCTCATGCCACTTCCATCCTTCCCTGCCCTCTGCCCAATCTGCCCACCCCAGCACTTGGCCAAGCTCCTTGCCAACTGGTCCCAGGGGTGTTTGTGTGAGCAGTGCCCATGGAAATGGTGTCATTGTTTTATCACTAAGCGAGCACCTCTTCCCATACCAAGTAACCACTCCACAGGGGGAGGGAGGGACATTGCTATGTTTCAGGAACTGTAACCAGAGAAAGATGTATAGAAATGAGACCAGGGCCAAAGGAAAATAGAGAAATTGATAAAATGCTAGGGAGTTGGCTTTACTGAGCCTGGAAAAAAAATCTAGGGTGAGGAAAGAGTTGAGGGAAACAACACCAGGCAGCAATTTTCTAAATAAAACCACCATAATTATACAGCAGCCTTACAATAGGCATTGAATAGATACTTGTTGACCTGTGTTCTCTTTGCTCCAACTCACCACCCCACCCCACTACAGATGATCTCACTGAAGGAAACAGATGTTAAAGCAAAATAACTTAAATCAAGTTCCTTTTGACTACTATACTAAGAAGATTAGCTGATTTTCTGTGGCTGTCTTATAGAAACTAGCATTAACACAGCTCTTGAGTTGAAGAAATCCTCTCCACCATGGAAGTAGAAGCATGGATCTGATGGGCTTAGGAAATGCTACAATTCACAGTTTCAATGGAGTGCTCCTTAGTTTCTGATTCGGCCTCTCTTCCCATGCTGGCTATTTCATAAAGGGAGTCCCCTGTGGCTCTGGGGCTTACGTCCCCCCAGCTTTAAGAGAACCCCCACCCCTGGAGTACCTGTGCTGGAGACGCCGGCGATGTTGCTGGGCTCGCTGACCAGATCCTGCATGACGGCCAAGACCCGGAACTCGTACCAGGTGTCCTACAGCCCCAGGGACAACACCCTGTCAGCCAAGGGACCTGAGGCAGCCACTGGCCCACCACTGGCCCAGCACTACTGACCCTGCAGTGATATCTCCTGAAACTAAGCACTGAAGGAGTGGATACTGGGAATGTTTAACAACCAGCTCTCAAGTGAAAAAAAAAAGTCCTGATTTGTAGCATTTGCCAATTGCCATGGTGCAAACACTCTGACCGTGGCTGAATTCAGTGAGGTCACTAATAGCAGAGTTGGGAAGAGATGCATACAGGGGCTTTCAGGAGCCACCACAAACCAATTCCAGCAACAATTGAGTATTCAAGGAAGGAAAACAGAAAGACAGATGAGATGATGAGGTTGTCTGTATCCATGAAATAAGCTATTTCCCCTCTCTGACTAGAGAGACATCAAAGTTTAAAGGGGGTCAGCTGGAATAAAAATAATGTGTTCTCTAGGGCTCTGAATTGTTAATGGGTGAAGCTAGAAGACAGTCCTTCTGGGAAATCCTATGCCCATCCCAGCTAGGCTCCTAATAAGGAGCTGAGGTCAGTGTCTGATTACATGTGCTAGGTTCTGGCCCTGCCCTATCCTTCCCTAGCTCATGTCAGCGATTAGAGAAACCCCTCAAGGCGGTATAGCTCCACACTACCACAGAGATGGTCCTGAATCTGTGAGACCTCAGTCTTCATGATCTGAGGATTCCAAACCTTGGTAGCAGAGCTGGGAGAATACAGGAACAGTGATGTGGTACAGTATGTGGCCAGACCTCATTCACCCAAGTTGGGTCACATTCGAAGCTTCCAGTGACTCTAGAAAGAGTCCGGTCACTTCCAGAATATGGGAAGAAGAAGCAAGGGAAAGCTAGGTCCTCACTTGGGACAGATCCTTGGCAAAGAATTCTCCATCGGTGCCTGGGATTGCATCATCTAACATCTCCCAGCGTTCTCCGACACGAAACTCCATGACGTAGCGGTCAATGGGAAAGCTGTGATTGGCAGGTGGGAGCCAAGACAGGAGTACACCCTGCTGGGTCCGATTGGCTGTGAGGCACCGTGGTGGAGTAACCAGCACCAGGGGTTCTGGAGTAGTGATGGGGAATGCTGCAGTGGCAGGAGAGACAGAGGGAGACAACACAGGAGTGCTGAAGTCACTGCATCCTCATCTTCCCTGTGCTATCTGCTGGCTCAACATGTGTCTCTGGGACCATCATAACCCCAAAATGACAGTCCCATGCCCACATGCCAGTGTATGCCTCATTTCAGGGGCAAGAGTGTCAGAGAAAAGAGCTCTTTTGACCCAAAGGAAAGAGGCAGAGTAAGTCGGCCCAAAGCTTCATGCTTCTGTTTTCAGAGTACTTCTAAAATTCCTCTACGAGGGAATCAAGTTTCTCAAAAGGAAAAAAGGAACTACAGGGAAGAAGGAAGAATTAAACGTAATTATCTTTTTAATAAGATAGTATCTTTAAAAAATATATAAAACATATATTTTATTCCCTTCCAAGGAAGTAGGAATATCTTCCCCCACACAGTTCACTCTTTCAATTCCCTTCTTGGCCCAGGTGGAAAATCAAGGCCCAGCAAGGGGCACTTTCAAGCAAGGTAAGCACTCTGTCACCGCTGCCCACCTTGGTGGCAGTAAACCAGGCTGGAGTGGTGCCACCTGTTCCCAGAAGCCCTCTCTGGCCCCAGAAAAGACAACGAACAAAACTACAGCCAGGAAGAAAAAAAGTGAGCCGCTAGGTCCAGGAAGGAAGAGTTGGCCACACTCCCACCACCGAATAAGGCTGGGACCAGAGGAGAGGACCAGCAGGAGAACAGGAGGAGGAAGGATTCCTAGTCTCCCTTGTGAAACCACAGGAAGATGCAAACATGTAGCCTGACCAGGAAGGCCAAATTCGAAGCCTCTCCCTTTCATCTAAGGGTGCAAAAGGAATCTGGCCAAATGTGCTCCAATGTGGGATGAGGAACTCTGATCCAGACAAACCCCACAGAATGATGTGACAAATCCTTATTGAGAGATCAAATGACAGGACTGTCTAAAGCACTTAGCAAGGTGCCTGGCATACAGTAAGCTCTAAAGGTTAGCTACCAGGACCATCACTGCCATCACCATTTTTATCGACCCCAGGTCCTCTGGGAAATACCCTCGAGACATCCCGAGCCCTCACCTAAAGTGTTCACAGTGACCACCTCACTGAAGGTGCTCGTTCCCAGCTTATTCTGGGCCAGGACACTGAACTGGTATGCTGTCTCAGGCTCCAGGGCATCCACTAGCAACCAGCTGGGTCCTGGTGGCACTGGCAAAGACAGCCAGTCATGGGGTCCAAACTGTGCCCGCTTCATCCTGGCCAAGAGAAATAGAAAGGATCGGGGACAAGGGAGTGGGGTGGGTTACACTGGAAACACAAGAGTGCATGCAAGGTCCTCAAGGAAGTGGCAGTTGGTACACCTGGCTTTCCCAGGTTCAAGGACAGAAAGAGGTAATGACCAAGGTGGGACGCCCTTCTCAATAATTTCAGGTCACCAGCCACCGCTGATACCCGCTCTTCTAAAAGGGACACTTTGGTGTAAGTCATGCTCAAAATACCGGTCAAACTGCCAACTGCGTTTTGGGAAAATCTCACCCTGGTCACAACCCTGAGAGCAACTGTGCCATGGGAGAGTAAGGACACTGAAAAAAAGGCAGGTACCACAGTATGAAAGAGAAGAGCAACTTGGCAACAGCATGACTAAAGAAAGAACTCTGGTGACCAAGGCCACCCACCCTCCCAGGGACAGCCAAAAGTGGGACCTAGAATAACCCAAAGGGCTCACTCAGTCCAACCAGGTTTGAGTCATCTGAGGAGGTCTAGGGTACATGACAAAGAAGATCAGGAGTTTCTCCACAGTGGGGATCAGGATCCCTAAGGCATTAAGGTTCAGAAATCACAATAAAGGAGAAGGTCACACTGTTTGTGGAGAACACTGACACTTTTCTACGCAGCCCACAGCCCAACTAACTCCATCTGCAATGAAACCGGCCATCTGCAGTGCCCAACATCACCACTGGGAGGAGTTATTGTTCTGTGGATTGAGACTAGGCAGCCCTGATGCCCACCAAATTCCCCTCTAAGTCAAAGGCTCACTACTGTGTATACCCAGGAGCTGGAGCTGAGGCAGCGGAAAGCACAGCAAAAAGAAGCGAGCGCCAAATGTCTCAGTCGTAACATGGAGAGTTAGAAGCAGTCAGAAAGAACTGGAGGAAAGAAGACCTCCCAATCTTTGCACCCACTCTTCCCCTCCCAGGCACCAAAGCAGGTGAGCGAAGTGTGACAGAGCAATGCAAGCGAGCAGCAGCGTGGAGCAGAGCCGCCGGCAGCCAGGGAAACCCCAGTCTATGCCCAGACCTTCCACCTGGCGTCCCTAAAGGTGGCCTGACCATGCCAAACGCCCTGTCCTGGCTAAGCAGCCGCCCAGCAGTGCCATGGTCTTGCAGTGCTCACCGGCAGGGTTGTTAGGAGGCCCTGTCCCTGCCCCTATCTGCCTCCAGAAGACCAGAGATAAGGGGTGGGAGGGTATTCTGGTTGCAACTCAGAGTTCTCCAAGCTCATCATCTAGGTCCAGTTTGCCTCTTCAGAGTTAAAAATGCCTAGGATATTCAAAGTCTGGGAAATATCCACCAAATCACAGGAAAGAGAGCAGGCCCCCTCTCAACTTCCCTTGCTATTTAGAACTGCAACAAGAGTTCTCCCTGAATGACCAGGGGTTTCTCTCCAGGGTGTGAGGTTTCTTCCTCCAGAGGCCCTGGCTGAGGCTGGCGGGGAATACACACCCAGATGAGACAGGTCTTAGGAGGAGGAAGTGAGGGGGCTCACTGTCCCTGCTCTGGGATGAACCCATGATGCAGGTGGCTGGTTCTTTGCTCAGGATAGGAATGTGGGGAGCAGGAAATCCTAAAGTGAGGGGAAGGGGGTCAACTGTGGTTTCTCTCTCCCCCTTTTCTATGCCTCCTTTCCTCAGCCCAATTCATGCAACTTTTAGATCTCTATCCTATGGTTTGGCAAAGATATCAAATCACTGCTTCTAGATAGATTTATAATAGAGATATAAACACAACAGAGACACATGGCCCCACAGAGAAAGTACAATGCTGAAGACCAGGCAAGGAAGTGTTCACCCCTTCACACTGGTTTCTGGAAACACTGGGGAAGGGACACAATACGAACTGGATTCTTTGCTTCCAGCTAGGCTGTTTCACAGTGCCCTTGAAGACTGGGAGTCTCTTCCAGACTCCAGAGGACAGAGGAAACTAAAAGAAGAATGAATCAAAGACACAAAAAGGGGGCAGTGAGATAAGCTGGAGAGAGAGCAGCAGAGGGTGGTGGACAACTCAGGCAACAGCCCAAATAGTCTTCCCAAACCTGGGCCAGGAACACAGGAGCGTCCAGAGTCCCTTAGACATACCCATCCCCCAAAAGAATTGAGTCATTGTGTCTACACACCTCATCATCTGGAGGTCTGGTAAAGAACCAAATCATTCCTGTAACCTCCACCCACCCCAGGGACTGACCGAAGTGGGGGTGGGGAGGGAGAAGCAGAGAGCAAAGCATGCGGGGCTGACTCACAGAGGTCCGTACCAAACTGAGAATGTCTGCTCGAATCCTCCATCATAGCCTGGCTCCCAGGACACGTTGGCAGTTGTCATGGAGACCTGGACCCGGACACTGCCCGGGGCATGGGGGCTGGTGCCTGGAGACCAAGTGGAGACCTCTAAGACTAAAGAGAACTGAGCCAATTGAGCTGGGCACCCATAACCTGCTGTGTCATAGCAAAAGGCAGTACCCCAGATGGAGTGACTGAGGATGGGGGGGGACACTGAGGAGCTGACACTCCGGCCTACCAGGTAGGAAGGCTGGAGAAGGAAACTCAGTCCACTTTAGTCTATCCAGTAGGAGAGGGTACGAGCACTAGGAATGTAAGCCGAGGGGAAACTGGAGCCCTCCATCACCCTAGGACAAAGTCCTGTGCTCACTTGCCAAGCACAGAAACACTCCCTTAAGATCACAGGCAAAGCCAAAAAATACTTCTCCTGTGAAGTTCTCCAGCCTTAAAAGACAGCCTTAACCACCCAAACAGTGACATGAGGGGCAGCACAGCAGTTAAGACTTCAACTTGGGTTTGAGGCCTGAGCCCACCACTATCGGCGATGTGGCACTGCGAAGGTGTTCAACCCCCACCAGCCTCGCTTTCAATGAATGTGCACTGGGGCAATAGCAGCTCCCGCCTCATAAGCTGTAGATGACAAGGCATCACTTGGTACAGGGCCTAAAACCGCTGGTAAATGCTCCCAAACTATTGGCTGTTGTTACAACTAGAGCTGTCTGTCCCCAGAGGAGCAGGTAAAATGGACACATGCCTCAGACAGATAAGTAGGAGAATGTTCAGCACCCCAGGAAATGTAAACACTAGTCACTCCTTCAGTGCCAGGCCCAGCCCGTGGATCTCAGCATCCAGGGCCTTCCAGCTTCCCCACTAGACCCTAGACTCAGAGCTCTGTGCAGTTGCTACTGGCCATGCAGGTGCCTAATTTCTGTGTCCCTCATGAACAAAAGACCTCCCCAGGACAGGCCCCATGTCACCTCCCTACAACGAGTCCACAGAGGGCTGGGGCTGCCCATGGTAGGCTCCTGGTTCAGAGTGGACTAACTTGGGAAAGACGTCCAGTCTCCAGCACCCAGACCACCACCCGCCTGCCCACTGCCCCATACCGATGACAGTCAGGTGGGTACTGGCAGTGATGCTGGTGACCACATTGGTGGCGATGCACTCCCACTCCCCGTGGTCCTCCTTACTCAGGGCTCGAAACTGGAGACTCCCGCTGGGCAGGGCGTTGTGCTTGCTTCTGCTGGGTTTCCCTACCTTGGCCAAACAAGGGGGCAAGGAGGGGGGCAGGAGTGGGTGGTAAGGGAGGAGCCAGGTCGGACAGGGGAGAAGAGAAGCCACCAACACCTCAGGGATCCGAGAAGAGGATGGAGAGGGCAGTGCCTGAGCATTCAGCCTGCACCTCTCAATGCCCTTCATCTAGAGCATCCATCTAGAAGTCACCCTGGCTCCTCAGCACCTGGCCTCTCAGAACAGAGCCACTATTGGGTCTTTACCCCCAGTCAGAGTCCTTCCCCCGCCAACCATGCTCCCTGGGAGCTCCAGGAACCAGAGGTACCTTTCTCCACGTGATGACAGGGAAGGGGTCCCCTGCGGCAGCGCAGGGTATGAGTAGCTCCCGGCCGGCCTCCTGCCTGTACTCCCAGCCTGGTAGCACCGTAAAATACGGGGGATCCTAGGGAAAGCACAGCAAGTCTGTAAAGGCAGTCACTTCAGGTGCCTGCCCACAAAGAGGCCACTCGTGGCCCTGGGCCTTACCTTCAGGACAAGTCGCGCAGGAGCAGACTGACCCATGGTCCCCAAAGTGTTGTAAGGCACACAGGTATAAGTGCCAAGAGCCTCCTCTGTGGCCTCCTCAATTCGAATGGAGCCATCCTCCATCAAGGTCCAGCCTAGATTCTGCCAGAGTGAGCAGGGAGCCACGGTCAGGGGGTGGACCCTCAGTCCCAGCCCCGCCAGGCCAGACCTGGGCTGGGTCAGCTCCACCAGCCAACCTGTAGGCAGACCTAGACATAGCACCAGCTACCATGGGGACAGGGTTGCCAGACCACAGAACCCATGGGAAACAACTCTTTGCTTTCCCAGAGTTTTTGGTGGGGAGTGGAGAGGTCCTGGCGGGGAACCAGACCCCAAAGACAGTATCTTAGTGTCGGGTGAGTATGTCTTATTGGGACCAGCATGTGACTCTCTAGCACCTTCTCGACCTGCAGGGGGCGGCCATCCTTGTTCCACTTGACCACAGTGGCCGGCGGCTCTGCGTCCACAGGGCAGCGGATATAGCCATGAATTCCCACGGGCACGTAGATTATGGGGGGCATGTTGAGGACACGGGCTGGGTCTGCAGAGGGGTAGCATAGGGTAGGAGAGAAGAAAGACACAAGAGAAGTCAAGAAGGGAGGAATCCAGGCAGGGATTCCTGACACCCCAAAGCACAGCCTTTCACACCCTCTGCCCATTCAGCAAACCCTATGTGTCCTCAGTGCTCAACACGGGCTAGTGCTGGGCCAACCGAGGGAAACAAGGTAGGCAAACCCTGGCTCTCGGGCTACAGAACAGAGGCCACAATGGGCTGCCCTAGGGCAGGCTATAGCGTTCTTTCGCCAGTCCAGCCCACAGTATTCTTAAGCAATTCTGTTTTGGATGCTCGTAGTGCTGGCCCGCCCCAGTCTGCAGCACTCCTCAAATGCTTCTACTCACTACAAATATTACTGCTGAGCGGGGCGCTCATGTCCATTTCCCCAGCCCCTAAACTCTGGAACTCAGAGTCAACATTTGAATGCACCCTCCCCCACCTGCTCCTCATCCTAAGTCTTTATCACCAAGCAGCTCCTCTCTCTCCACATCCTAAACCAAAAGATGAAAGGCAGTCCTATGCATACAGGCAGAGGCATAACCACAGGTGGTCCTTCTCTCTCCTCTCCATTCTGCTAGTTGCCCAGTCTCCCAAGCTCCAGTTTCCCATGTGTGTCATCCTTGTCCACAGAACAGTTGACAGGTTCCCAGGACAGTAGCAATTGCGGCATATCCCGTCATATGGGTGAGTCATCACATTTCAGTTCTTCCCAATTTCCCTGAGGGTTACCAACGAGAAAGATCCAGAACTTCCAGGGAGGCAGTGAGGATGAATGAGCTGGTATCTTTTAAGCATTTGGAGCTCTTCAGAGAACAGCATTACATAAATACCAGGCCGAGTTATATATTTAGACATAGCTTCCTACTTTTGTATGGTAGAGAGTTTTTTTTTTTTTTCCTCCAAGGTTTTCAAAGGGTTTATGAATGGGAAATACTCTGAACACTGCTTTTTAGCAGAAATAAAGATTCTTGTCTCACCCACCTGAAAATCTTACCCCCCGGATTCTCTTTGAAGGCAAGAAGGAGGTAAAAAAGGACAAGTGGGAGTGGGTGATGGTGCTGGGGAGAGACAGGGAAACCACATGCCCCGCTCGGAAGAAAATGGTCCATAGCTCCAAGGATGAGGCCTCATCCTGGTTAGATTCATCACTCTTCTGAAGGTCACCTCCTGTTGGTTCTTTCCCTCCTCCACTGCTACCTTCTTGCCCAGGTGATGTAAGCTAGTCAGGATGCTACTCCAAGTAAGGTCCTCCCTTCTCTTAGCCCCTTCACATCCAGCACAGCTTGGGGCACATGGTAGTTCACCGAGAAATAGCTTCTTGACTTGCTTTTTCCTACCGCACGTCTTGGTGGGACAGACCTGATGCCCTTGGTCACACGGCATTTCTTGGGCCTCACAGCTCTTAAAATCTTTCGACTCATAACGTAGCATTCTGAAACTCCTTGAAATTTACTGACAGAAGTGGAGAAATTATGCCTTTGCCCCCAGCAGTGAAATCATTGCACAAGGAAGAAAACAATGAGAACATAAGGTTAGGAGTTTGACAGGGCTGGAGGGTCCAGCCTGGCTCCACCACCAGTCCATTCAAACCACAGAGGCCCATTCAAGCAGTAGACTTTGCAAATACTCATCTCTGCAAAGATGAGCCCCACCTCCTGGGGCACCAATTGTTCATCTACCTGTCCCCAATTCAAATGCTCACTCCAGACTGTTGCACTTCTACCCTGCCACTCCATGCCCTTGGGGGTGAGCGATTCTCCTACAGCAGACCTCAAGTGATAGAGAGCTTGTCACCTACAGCAAAATATGGGGCCTTTGTTGCCTGAGTGACAGCATCATCAGCAAATCAAAAGGAAGAAATTAATCCTCATCACTCATCCTTCTCTCTCTCACAAAGATCAGCTTGCCAGGGGTGGAGAAACAAAGACTACGCTGAAGTACTAGAGATGAGCAAACTGAATTATTGTGCTCACACAAAAGCCCTCCATTGTTCTGGCATGAGGAGCGGCTCATTCATTTGGATCTCTGGCAGTCCCAGAGAAGCACAAGGAGGAAGCCAAGAGGAGGCCAGGTGTTGGTGGAACTGAATCAAGTCACCTCAGAAGAGGGTTCTCTCCCCTCACCCCACATATCCATCCAAGGTAGGAGAAGGCAGAGAGCTGACAGGAAATCTAACCCTACACAGGTTTGAGCTACACTTTCTCAGACACCTGAGACAAAAGCACCAGAGAGCATCTCATTTGAGGTACAGACAGAGGTGCTGGCTAGCATTCAATGCAAGCACAAAATGTTCAGAAGGTCTATCGATCCTTGAATCCTACCTAAGCCTGGCTGATGGAATGAGTTAGCTAGCACATGCAGTGATGCTTAGTCCACAGAATACAAGGGCTAGTTTCACTTTGATTGCCCAGCCCAGATATTGGCCTCTTCTTGGGCTGTCCTTTCTTTCTGCTCAGCCATTCCCCCATTCTCATTCCATTGAAAGACTTCTGGTGTCTACTGCCCTCCAGCCTCCAGTCTGGCTAATTGTATAGAACATAAAGGATTGAGGACTTTTTGGACTTTACAAAATGATTTCCGTGGGAGCCATGACAGTAATGTCGGCTTGCACATAATAGGGACACCCTTAGGGTGTGACCAGAACACCCAGAACCACAGAAACATCAACCATGACTGCCCTAGATAAGCCCCCCATCTGCAGGAGCCAATAAGCATAAGGATCCCACCTTGCCAGGTCCATATAAGCTAAGCACCTTAGACAGATGATGCTCAAGCCTAACCCAAGAGTATTACGGACAGGTGTGCTAGAGCCAAAGACTCTGACATGCTCATCACAGCTCAGGAACTACACAGAGCTCTCTGTGCCGCCAGTCAACAGAGCTCGCTTTGGAGACTCTAAGAACTTTCATCTCTTTGCTCTGTTGCATAAGACTCTGTACTTCCCTTCTCTGTGTATTGTGTGTTAACCAGCATGGGTACCTGATTGGTTTATCTGAGAAGGTTCCACTCAATAAACCTAGCATCATGGAAAGATACAAACGCATTCGAGGGTGTTACTTTGGTAGCCTCTTGCCCTGCTTGTAACGATAATGTGGCCTGAACCTTCTGGAACCCCCACCATCCAGGGCTCTCCCTCACCCCTACTCACACTGCACAGTCAGGTAGGCAGAGGCCGAGGGGGAACGCCCTAGACTGTTGCTAGGGACGCAGGTGTACTTCCCCGCATCTTCAGGCTTCACCCGAAAGATGATCAGGGTCCCGTCAATCAAGATCCGAACTCTCAGCTTCAGGTCACTTTGAAGAGACAGGAGACGAGGAGACACAAAGAGCAGGGAGGCAGGGGGCAGGGGGGAGGTGGCAGGTGAGAGAAGAGGAACTTCCAGGAAATACCAGAGCAAGGTAGCAATGAGTTCCCTCACCCCCACGCCTGAGGGAGGAGACCAAATGTGTCCTCACATTCCCAGGGACCCTCTCAAGGCCCATGCAGACACTGACCCTCACATGTGGCACATGTGGACCAACCACCCACTCTCTAAGTTCTCAGAGCCCAAGGGCAGCCTGCTCAGAGGTCTTGTCTCTGGGGACCTGGCCTGGGCCCATGCTGAGGGCTTAGGGCAGGGCGCTCACTTTTGAAAGTAGACGTTCTCATCCTGCCAATACCAGGTGTAAGTGAGGTTGCCAGGATACGCCTCCGCCCGGCAGGTAAGCAGAGCATCTTGGGATATGTTGACAGTGATGTTCTCAGGAGGGGACACTATGAAAGGAGGCCCTGGGGACACAGGAAACAAACATGACCTCACCCGATGGGGCAGGGGAGAACAAGAGCACCAGGACCTCCCAGGTAGCTCTGAGACACCTCAAGAAAGGTGTCCTGAGCCCTGGGAGGGAGGGCGGGGGTAGCACTGGCCCAAGAGTTAGCAGCACAACCCAGGCAGTTGTCATGGAGACACTTCTAGCGGCTGCCAGTGCTTAAGTTCTTACTCTCCCTATAGATCCTAGAAATGCAGACTGTACTGGACATGGCCACAGTGTGCCCCACCCCCTCGAGCCAATTGCAGACACCTTCTTGGTACATACCTATACCCCATCCCCACACACAACCCCTCTATAAATTCTGGCTCCCCAAACCAGCCATCTAACCACACACACACACACACACACACACATGGTCCTTCTTGCCCATCCTTCCCTCCAGCAGAGCCCCGAGTAAGAGGCATGCTGGAGATTGAAAGGCCACTTTTTCAGTCCAGAGCGAGAAATAATCTTGCTTCTGGAGGAGTAAGAGACTTGTGCTGCTCACCAGGCAGAGGTTAGGAGGGCAGCTCAGGGGAGAGCAGAGTGAATAGGGTGTAAATTCCAGCAGTCCCTGGTGCTGACTTTCTAGACAGGCTGCAGCTGCCAAGTGGCTCTCTCCTGAGAGAGGCCAGTTCTCCTCCAAGCTACAGAGGGACCTCTGGCCCATGTGGCCACTCAGAACTCCAAGTCAGGAGACAGGAAGAGCATTGCCTTGGCAGCCCTGGCAGCCCGGACAGCTGCCACCAACCATCCCTCACCAGTTCCTCCAGCAGGCAGTAGATGAGAGGCAGAGCAGGTGGATAGGCTCAAAACAAAGAAGAGACCCTGCTGCCCGGACGCTGCCCTTTCTGGGGCACTCTGGGGCCCCAGATAGGACAGACTGGCATCTCCATGTGCTAACTGTGCTGACTCCAGCTCTGCCAAATGTCTGAATGCCCTCAGTATTATTTAAATGTCTGAGGTTTGCATTGAATTCCTATCTTTATCTATTGATGCCATCACTACTGGAAGGAGCTCTAAGGGAGGTGGATGTATGGCAGGACACTACCTGGACAGACGCAGAAACCAGAAACTCACCCAGCATGGGGCCTTAGGCCACCTGTGTGATAGCCACAGCAGGCCGCCTTGAAAGCTCTAGTCATGTAGTACCAATATTTGGGAGGAGTCCTGCCCAGCTCGTAATGGGCTGCCCATGTCCACCCGCCCTCAGCCGTGTTGACTGTGTCCTGGGACAGGCTGGCCTGGAAGTCCCTGAAAGAAGCCCAGAGCACAAAGAGGCCAGAGAGATCACTCTTACCTTGGACAAGCAGGTGGGTGGTATGGACAGCCTCCCCCTGGATGCTGTATGCGCGACAGGTGTAGGCACCTCTGTCCTCCCGATTGACCGATGTTACTGTCAAACTCCCATCACTCACCTGGGGCCAAGGAGAGATGGAGCTCAGCACTCACCTTGGGCCCCACCAATGCCATCCTGAGGCGGAGGTGGCCTCAGGGCTGATGTACCTGGGGGATACAGAGGCAGGTGCCTCATTTTTCATCTCCCTTCGCCAACACACCTATAAGCCAGTCTGCCTGCTGTTTCCGTTTCCCCTCTGTGCCTTTGCACAGGGTGTCACTGGTCACATAAAGTGGGAGACTGCCTTGGAGAGGGAAAAACAAGCAAAGGAAGGGTGAGAGGAGCGCAGTGGTCCCAACGAAGAACCACACTTACCCTGTATTTCCCACTAGCAGCAAGGAGGGTCCCCTCCTTGAGCCAGGTGACAATGGGCTTGGGGTTCCCAAAAGCCGTGCAGGTCATGGTAATGCTGCCACCCTCCTTGGCCTCGATGTACTGAGGGGGTGTTTCTGTAAAGGTAGGGGGAGCTGCAAAGAAACCACAAAGGATTAGGGTAGGATTATCAAGCTGCTGCCCTGCACGCCTCACCAGCCCTCACCAGGTACCAAGCCCACGTGATCATGCATAACCCTCGTAGGCTCCTGCGAGGAAGGAAGGTGGAGACAGGTAAAATACTCTGCCCAAGAATCTTACATAGAGAGGGGAGACCTGGAATTCAAAGTCAGTCTGGCTGGGTTTAAATTCTAAACTCTTCCCATAGTACTTGGCTAATTCCAATAAACACATTTGTTGAGCATCAGTAGGAAGCATCTTAGTACTGAGCTCAGCACTAAGATGGGCAATAGACAAGACCGCTCTCCCCTGATCCTAACAGAGCCTATATTTGCCACCAGCTCCACAGACTGTTCCATCATCTTTCTGTCTTTCACCTCATGATTATCCATGATACCCATACTTCCTTAACCCAGCCTGGCCAGGCCCTCACATTTGGGACATTTGTGATCTGGCTCCATCTAGAATGCCTGACTTTATCCACAGAAGCCGGGCTGCTCCCTTCTTAACTCTTCGCTGATTGTGCCAGGTTGTCCCCTACACCACCGTCTGCATTGGAGTTTTGACTAAAATTCCATCCTGTTTGGATAATCAGCTTTCAAGAGACTCAGTCTTGTTTCTCTGAGCTTCTCATAGAAATAGGCTGGCTTCTCCTCCAAGGAATTCTAGCAGTTATCTGGTCAGTCTTGACCTTTTGGACTATCAGTTCTGTGTTCTTCTGAAGTGACAAGTGAGGGCCCCACTCTGAACACCAGCCTTGAGGGTCCACAACACTAGGCTGGGGCAGGCCATTTTGAGCTTATCTCAAGGTACCCAAAACTCAGGACCAAGTTCAAGTGCCAACCTGACACTTATTGTGTAACCCTGGGCAAGTTACTCAGACTCTCTAGGTTTTACCTAAATCCCCCATCCTCCAGAATTGACATGAGGAATAAATAAGGCGTGTAAGAAGGACCTTGTAAAATGTAAACAAGTAAAACATGGGTTATTTTGCCAGTGCTATCATCATCATCTCCCCATGAGCCTCTGAGGCATTAATGAGAAACTTTTAGAAGGGTCTATCCTCTCCAGACAGCCCTGCTCCCAAGAACTAGTCAGAGTGCTTTCGGATTTGATATCCATCCCCTGCTCCTCCGCCAGCCTCATCTATCACATTTTCCCCTTTATTGTGCTCTAACCACACTGCCTTCTTCGTATTCCATGGATGTGCCAAGAACACCCAACCTCAGGGCCTTTGCATTTGCCATCCTCTCTGCCTGGAAATCTAAATCCAGATCTCCTTCCTTCAGTTCATGCAAACCTTTGCTAAGATGCCATCTCTGTCTTACCTGATCAGCCAATATGAGATGGCACTTCTAGCCTTCTTATTACCTTAGATTGTTTTATTTTCTTTGAAGCATTTATCACTAATTCTCCTTGAGAGCAGAGATCTTTTCCACAAACCCCACAGTATGCCCAGCTTTTAGCATAGTTCCTGGCATGTAATAGAGCACTCAACAAACGTCTGTTGAATGGTTAAACAAACAAATGAATGAATGACTGAATGAAGGTGCATACATATACACACACCTATAGACCAACACGAATGCGAACAAATAAAACTCCTTAAGAGCATAAACATGACAAGACCACTTCCTTCAATAATCCCACGAGTCCATTGCTCAGTGTAGGCACACAGGGGCACTTGGAGAGTGAATACTGAATGAGTTAAGAAGCACACTTCGTCACACACAAAAACACACACAACAGACATCCTCAAGAGAGTCAATTTTCATCCAATGTCTAATATACCAAAAATAACAGTAAAAAACACCCAAAGGACTCTGGAATCCTAACTCCCAGGCCTCCCTTCCTGCACTGGAAAGTGCTCATCTCCAGCAGAGCCCCTCCTCGCCAAGCCTGCCCCTTGGAATACAGTTAATACAGCCACAGCCTCTATTACCTCTGGTGTCAAGCTTAAAAGAAAAGATAATAAATTAAATTACATCCTGAAGTGACAAATTAATTACTAATTACATAATTACTTTATTATTTAGGTGCTAATCAGGAAAGTACTTTGAACAATTTCGAGTTTTGGGGAAAATAATGGTTTGACTCTCGATTATTTACTGAATTAGGTGTTAGCTTGCCAGCTGCATTTCCAGGCTTAATTCTTTTTTTCACAAGTGCCCTATAATTAATAGTGCAGGTTAGAAATAGGCTGGCCTCTCCTCCAAGGAATTCACCAACCTAACGCAAGACTTGGCTTGGGCTTTGGGGGTATTTTCTATGTAATAAAGAAATAATTGGGTTTGTTTCCACCCAACTGATCTTCAGGAAAACACAGAAAGAGAATGAGACAATTTGTAATTCTAATTTTTCACTGGCCTTTCATTTTCCAAAGGTGATCCCTGTCAGAAAATGCCTGACATTAAACATTCTAGTTTGGAAGCAATGGAATATTGGTGCTCCAGACTCTTTCCTTCAATAATGGAAATTTATGCTGGAAAGAATCTCAGAATTTGGGATGAAGGGAAGGGGGA